TTCATAAATTAAAAATTAAAAAACCTGATTTGTGAATTTTGGAACTTGTTTTGGTATTTTTGAAAAGGGGTAAATTAAACACATTAGAAATGTATTTTTTCCATATATGAATTATATATTTGGCTGTCCAATCAAAAAATCTGAAAGAAAATATCTTATTAGTTTTTTGATTCTTTGAATTTCATACAAGTGAAATTATTTATATATAAATATAAATTTGTAACCGCTATTGAATTTGATCTGTCCTTTGAACTAATGACAAAATGGTCAAACCAGTCAGATTTCTATGCCTTCACGTCAGGTCCTTTTCAGATTCCAATAAGATTAGGCAAGTCCAAAATTTATGCAAGTGAATGATTGTCGGGTTATTCCACTCTGCAAAGCCGCCTGCCCATGATTGTTTCAACCCAACATCTGCTTTCATATTCTATTTGGGATTCAAAAATGCTTAATGTACATTTAAAATTGTACAGCAATTTTAACAGCCCTCTTCCATGGGTGGGGTCACGATTATTTTAATCATGGACCCCACCAAATGTATGTGAGAGGACTGTCAAAATTAATGTCAAAATTGATGTAACTCTAATATTGTTCATTTGAGATTAGAGTCATGCTACTTGAACGGGCCACCTCTTCGTACAGGGGCGTCAGGTGGACCTATTCAAGAAGAATAATCTTGGGATGCGCAAACCCCAGGGGCGTGGCGCCCCAGTGGGGACGGTTGGCCCTGTCCGTAGAAAAACCCATTTGTCTTGATCCAGGTCTTCATGAAAACATTTCCAAGTCAACTGCTCTGTTCAACCGTGCTCTGTTCAACCGCATCTATAGAACTGAGAGAGACTTTGATTTCTATCCTATTCTTCTTTCTTTTCATTGTTGTTAGGCATGGCTTTTTACATGGAGCTCTATAGTTTCCCTGTTTATTTTTCTCTGTTTTATCTGCTTAATCTACGCTTAATCTATTCTAAATGCCAAAAGTCTTTCCAGTGTGGACATCTTGGCCGTTTGGAGTTTCCTCTATCCAATTATACGCAACCTGAATGTGGATTGTTCAGGGTTCAGTGCGATGCAATTCCTTATCCATTAGTTTACCTGGAATATGAAGGGATTTCATCGTCCAGGGAGATTCTGTCCAAGATATCTACCCATGTATTCAGGATTAGGAACCCTACTATTGAAGGTCTTTTGAAAAGTAAGAGCTGCGCTCTGTTCAACAATTACTCTATTCAGGGCTCGCCTTCTATTTCTTTTTCAGTCTTACCTAATATCACTTTGTTTAAATGCGCCAAAAATTCGACACCTTATTTCCCGGATTATTATAGAAAGTACACAGTTTGCCAATACTTCGATATATAGTATGCCATAAAAATTAAAAGTATTTCTTGGCCAGACGAGTGTTCTGTTTTTCACTTACCAGGCAA